GTAATGGGAAATCATTGTGTAGAAGAAAGGCATTTTCCCATTAAAGGTCCCATCTTAGAAAGGATCCGAAGAATACAATAAATATAGCTGAGATGGGTTGGAAAGCAGTCGAGTTTTAATTTTTGGGTTCTTGTAAGCAAACACCAACAGGGGAAAACCTGGGAAGCAACATCTGAAGCTCACCCTGATTACCCGAGGCCACGGATATTCCACTGTAAATAGGCCATGATTTTCAATGAGGAAAATACCAGGAATCCGCAGGAAAACATTCAAGCAGCGAAGGAATGGAGCTGTGGATATGGAGGAGAGGGAAGAGAAGGAACAGGAGGTGGATCAGTATCCATTGAAGGTTTAGTCCCTGCAATATATTCTGAAATAGCGTCAAGTGTTTCCTGAATTCAAAGACGTTGTATGGGAGACAATATTGGAGACTGAAGAAGGAGGGTGAGCAAAGATTGGGACAGTAATGGACTCTTACTAAAGTAGGGGGAACAAAAGCATGTTGGGAACTGGAGAAGTGTGGGAGGGGACAGAAGAGGCAGAAACCTGGGAGGCAGCAGAAGAGGGAGAACTTGGGGAGGGACTGGGAGAAGGCCAAACGAAGGGGAGGTGAACCTCCACACTTGTAATAAAGCCAGTGAGAGGGAAGAACAAGGTACAGAGACTGGAAAGATAAATGTTTTGGCGGAAGAAGGAAGAGGGGCAAAGAAATTTTGAGCAAAGGAATTTTTGGATTTCAAGAAATTAAGGGGCATTGGTAGGTTCGTACAAGATCTTTTTGATACCGGGGTTGTGAGGAAAACCTTGAAGAAAACAGAACAACGAGGGGGTTGAAGTAGGGACGCCAAGCCCAGGACAGCAAAAGGATTAGATACAGGAGTGACTAGGGGAGGGGTAACAACAGAGGAGGCTGCAGATGGGACCCCAGAAGTGGGGGGACATTTTGAAACACAAGAATAAGAAAACAGGGTAGTATCCCTTGGAGATGAGAAACTGCCATAGCACAAGGGACACCTTCTGCCTCTTTGAGACAACGGATTTCATGCTCATTTAAGTAGACCTGGCAACGGCAAGAGTACAAAGGGTGAGCCTCATGACAATTAAGGCAAGAGGGAGGTTGAGTGCAAGATGTATTAGAATGGTCATTGGCACCACAGACTGGGCATTGGGCTTTAGATCTGCAACATTTTGCTGGGTGACCAAATTGCCAGCAATTTCTAAACTGTTGAGGTGTAGGGATCACCTTTCTAACTTGTAACCGATGTCCTGCTAAATAAACTGAGGACGGGAGTTTATGGCTTTCGAAAGTTAATCCAGCCATACTGCAAGGATATCATCTCCACCCGTGGGCAGGAAGGACATAAGTGTCTACCTTGAGGATTGTGAGATCTTGGAGTTCCAGCTGTTCAAGAATGTCATTGCCACATGCCTGAAAATTGTTGGACTATAGTATTGGGCAGAATGACAGTACCACCACAAGAATCGAGGGAATGATGTTTTTCGATAGTGACAGGAATAGTGTCGATATGTGAAAGAAGAGAAAGATCATGAGCTTGGGTAGCATTCTGAATAGTGATGATGCACGTACCGCTCTTCAAAGCATGGAAGGAAATATCTCTACCAACATGGCGGAGGAGCGCCTTGCCAATACAGTGGACCCCCGCATAACGATCAGCTCCCAACTCGACCAGTTATGTAAGTGTATTTTTGTAAGTGCTTTTGTAGGTGTATTTTTGGGGGTCTGAAATGGACTAATCTAATTCACAATATCTCTTATAGGGACAAATTCGGTCTATAATGGCACCCAAACAAACTTCTGGATTGAAATAATATCGTTATGCGGGGGTCCACTGTACTATGGTCGGAAAGAGAGGCAACAAAGGAAGTCGGTCGTAAAGAATTTAGTCCATTGTGCATTCCGAAACTGAGCATGGAAAGGGAGTGCTTGATGTGTTGATCTTTTCTGAGAAGAACGTGGTGGTGGTGAAGTATCATCAGGAACGGAGTTGGTCTGACGTGAAATGGGCTGACGATTCGAAAATTGCCGCACCGTAGAGGGAGAAGCCGGAAGCATAGTCAAAGGAGAGCGAAGGTCAGACAAATCGAAGGAGTCAGTCAAAACCCCAGTACTTGAAGCGGGTGAGGAAACAGCACAGCAAGAAGTACAGGCTCATCAGGAGTGTTCAAAGAGTGGTCAAAAAATGAGGCAGGGTCAGAATGGGGTGCGGTATCAAGAAAGGGCCGGGGGGTAGTAGGTTCATGGACTGGGTTCTCCATGGTTAGGTTACTTCTTTTTGTTTTTAAGAAAAAAAAAAATAAATAAAAAAAAAGAATAAAAAAAGGGGGGAGCAGGGAGGAATAGTTCCCAGGAGGAATGAAAGGGCTGGAAATCTCCCTCCGTGCCCAAGAGGACCTCAGCACTGCAAGTAGCTCAGATGCAGCATGGAACCCGTGCCATATCCTACCCTTCATGCCAGTAAACCAGCAATCTGGGATAGCAACCTCACATCTGCCGAGCTACCTCAGTGGACAAAAGAGGGTGGCTGGATATCCACCACAAAGCATACCTCCTTCGGCCACCACCCCTGGAATCCAGAAGGTGGCTTCCAGAGATACACCCATCACCTGAAAGACACCCAAAGCCACCCTCCGGAATACTGGAAAGGGATCGGGACATCCCCAGGCGATCCAGATTCCACGGCAAACTACGCCACCGCCAAGAACCTCAATGGAATGGGATGGACCCTGGTACCTTTTCCCCTACCCAGGAACTAGCACACCTGTGGAAAAAATCCCAAAGGCCAAAAAGAGGAAGGGCAAAAGGGAGGGGTGGGGAGGAGGAGGAGGAGGAGGAGGAAAGAAAAAAGGGGTGGATGGGATAGGGAAGGGGGGATTGGGGGGTAATTAGGTTCAGTCTGAGGAAGGAGACCGACAGGTCTAATTCCTCAGACCAAGAGCCTCTTCACCACACCAAGGAGCCCCCCTTGAAGAGGTACATGTAGAGAAGATACATAATTTTGATTCTTAACCTTAGATCTCATCCATTCTCTGTTTACTGCAGGAAAATGACCACCTGGTTAACACTAAGGTCTGGCATCACTCTGATGTCACACTTATTAGAGTTGGATTAGTCACAGCCAGCTTTTTCCCAGCCACCTGGTTGCTACTGTTTTTTACAAAAATTTGCATAACATAAGCAACAAAAATCTCCATCCAGGGTACAAGAAATAATACACTAACAAATAAACACTCAATTCTTTTTCACTTCAAGATAAATAGCTAAAAGGTTCATGATAATTTGACAAATGGGAGATAATGTAAATTATCCTTTAATAAGGAAAACATATTTCTTGGTTAAGACATCACACACAAATCAGAACACAATAACAGAATTATATAAAAAGGTACAAAAATAAACACAGGCAAGGGAACGAAAAAATATACTATCATGACCGTAACAAGACAAACATATCTTGGTACATTCTTAATTACTTGTTTACAGTTAGCACTATTTCTAATAATCTATAACTGCTGACTATATTATTATAATAATACTAGTCACAAGAGACACACACAGCAACCTTTCATAGAATGACAAACAAGGTGGTTATGGGTGATTCCCCAAAACATTTATATTCACAATGCTATTTCTCAAGAAAACATCTTGCCATCAAAAACGGGATTCCCAACTACTACAAATTCTAAAAAAAAGTATTGACTTGCCCTATAGATTATAATCAAAACCAAGCACTAAACCTACTAGGGTTATGCAGAACCACTCAATAGTGAAGGACATAAGGCAGTCAATTTCTTTTTACTGGCCCCTCATCTCAGTCTCTGTCCTCCAGAATTTTAAGCCTCCCAGAATATTAATAAATATTCTCTTCTATAATTTTTTGAAATGCCTTAAAACAATTCACTATCAGTTATTAATGTTATTATTACAATAAGTTAAAACACTAGATCAATAACTAAAAACAAAATAATGATTATAATAAAAAAGAAGAGTTAAATCTACAAGGGTCATACAGCACCAATGAGCAGGGAAAGATGCAGGAGTAATAGGTAGCAAGAGGGAAAGGGATGATTATTAGTTCATGGAGTGCAGCGGGACAGTGGATAGTGCAGGGGAAGAGGGTAGCAAGAGATCGAGGTAACAAGGCTGTGAGGAGTACTAGAAGCATCACCATCAGAGTTTGTGCAGTAGATCATTGTCAAAAAGTCAATGAGACAGTCAGGGCTAAAGGAGGATCCATCAGCAAGAAGGGAAGGTAAAGTAAGGGCAATAGAGTGGTGACAACATTGGACATAAATTCTGCGTGCTCATTGAATAAGTGGGCAGTCCAACAGAATGTGGCAGAAACTGGAACCTGACAATTCTCACAGAGTGGAACTGGGTGCCTCTCCATGAATACCCGTCAGACGATGTATCCGATGCGAAGACGGGAGAGAGTAGTCTCCTAACCTCAACACTGATAAGAAGGGATATGTGGAGCCATAGAGGTAACAATGGATAAATCAGAGATGACAGAATGTCTAGTGAAAGTAATTTGGCGAGTTTTAGTCCTGGAAAATTTAAACCCATGCATGGTGGCCCAGTTGGAGACACAGCTGACCGCATGCCAGAGAGAAACTGCAATGAGGTACATAATAGTAGCACAAATTGATTCACTGGTATTATATCACTGAAAGCTGTAGTTGAAATCAGGCGGTCTCTCGACCAATATGGTTTGACACAGTGTTTATACACATGTGGCATAAGCATTATTGAGGCAAAGAAAATATACATCTCAGCCACAGTTGTCTCCTTCCACAGGTGTAGGCGTGATCTTTGTGAAAGAACTGTGTTTGCCATTGTGTAATCGAAGTATGGGTTGCTTCCCCTGACAATAATTTCCATCAGAGGTTCATCAAAGAATAACTTGAAACATTCCAGTTCAGTGGCATTGTTCTCAAGTGTACAAGTTGACCATATTCCACTCTGACCCTCATCAAAGTGATGGGGACTGGGAGCAAAATTGGCACCTTGCTGCCAATCCCAGATGCGATCTGCTGGTGGGTACTGGATATTGACAGGTGGTTGTGGAGGTTTGTGGTTGTGGGGTTTGTGGTTGAGGGTGGTATGGTGGGTGGGTGGGTGAGATTGGGCTTTGTTGTAGCCAAGCCGAGTCAGCGGCATGGGTACCAGCATGGGGCGCTGCTGGTGCCTCATGGCACATGGCACCAAAACCATCTGATGATGCATGTACATTATCCATCCCAATTGTAACAACATAATCATCATTTTCATTATCTGTTCCTGTTTATATGGCCATGGGAATGTACCTCCAAGATGTAATTCTTCCCCTTGGAATATCATATGGCACACTAACAGAGTGCATGTAGCATCATATATACTGGTGCTTCAATGGGGAATATTCCACTTCACTCTCGCTACTGGAACTGTTTTCAAGAGACTGGATATCATATTCACTATCACTATCATCACCACTGCTCACATCGTTCTGGTACAACTAATGCGAAGACGGCCAAGCACCAGAGGTGGAAGGTTGAGGGTCGTCTGGGTTTTCAGAACTTATCGGTATTATGGTCATTACTTTCAATCACAAACTCCTCAAAACCATGAAATTAATCTTCACTGACACATTCATCTGTGTTAGAACTATTACTTAGGAACAGAAGAATCACAATTCGCCAGGGAGAGAGGAGTGCCTTACCATGAGACATGGTGAACAAGGTGTACTGAAATGGTCTTCCCACAATGCAATCTGGGTGCCTCGATTTTTTTCCTACTGCGCACACTCACCATGCACACCCATTCTCTCACATGTAGGCCTACGTTTTCTCTTGCTCTATTTGAAGGTGCTAGGATTTTGGCATATAAGTACAGGACCGACCCTCAAAGGGTTAAGGATCAGGGGTCTCAACACTGAAAGGGTTAAAAACGAGCTATCTGACCAGCCAGGGTGTGGTTCATATGTTGGATTACATGCAACTAACACTTGGTTGATCAGGCTCTGAACCACTGTGAGGCCGGGTCATGGACCAGGACATGGGGGCATTGACCCCTGGAACACCCTCCAGGTAGACCAGAGATCACCTCCACTGAGGATCACTTCCACCAATGAGGATCATTTTCACAGCTGAGGAATACTTCCTCCACCACTGAGGATCGCATCCCCAATGAGGATCACCTCCACTGCTGGGGATCACTTCCACTGCTGAGGATCGCATCCCCAATGAGGATCACCTCCACTGCTGGGGATCACTTCCACCACTGCAGATCACTTCCACTGTTGAGGATCACTTCCACCACTGAGGCTCACATTCCCAATGAGGATCACCTCCACTGCTGAGGATGACTTCCACCACTGAGGGTCATATCCCCAATGAGGATCACCTCCACTGCTGAGGATCACCTCCACTGCTGAGGATCACTTCCACCACTGAAGATCATCTCCAGTATTGAGGGTCATGTCAATATTTGAAATATTCATATATTTACTGAAAAAATATCGTTAACCGGGGGTCCACTGTACAGTGGACCCCCGGTTAACGATATTTTTTCACTCCAGAAGTATGTTCAGGTGCCAGTACTGACCGAATTTGTTCCCATAAGAAATATTGTGAAGTAGATTAGTCCATTTCGGGACCCCCAAACATACACGTACAAACGCACTTACATAAATACACTTACATAATTGGTTGCATTCGGAGGTAATCGTTTTTGCAGGGGTCCACTGTATTTGAAAAAATAATACACAAGTGACTTTACTCCTACCTTACATACAACAACATACTTAACCCACGCCAGTTTGGATTAAGACAAAAAAAAAAAAAAAGCATGAATGATGCTATTATACAAATGCTTGACCTAATATACACAGCTCTTGATAAAAATGAATATCTCCTGGGGTTCTTCATCGACCAAAGAAAAGCGTTTAACACAGTTGACCACAATCTCTTGCACCTCAGATTGAATCATTACGGCATAAGAGGGCATTCTCTTGACTACCTAAAATCCTATCTTAACGACAGACACCAGTATGTACATGCAAATGGAGTCAACTCTCCTATCTAACCTGTAGCTGTAGGAGTACCCCAAGGTAGTGTCCTAGGCCCACTCCTCTTTCTCATCTACATCAATGATCTCTCCAGTGCATCCCAAGTACTTACATCAGTTCTATTCGCAATGACACTACATATGTCTACTCCCATTCAGACCCAGCTGTGCTTGAAAACACTGTAAACAATGAACTGCTAAAGATATATGCTTGGATGATGACCAACAAACTCACTCTCAACATATACAAAACATACTTCATGCTGTTTGGCAACAGAGCCTCAAATATTCAACTCAACATACTGTTAAATGGTTCCCCTATATCAAGACACACGGAGGGCAAATTTCTAGGTCTTCTACTTGACTGTAATTTTAAATTTCAGTCCCATACCCCATCACATAGCCAAGAAAATTTCCAAATCAGTAGGAATCCTTTCCATGATACGCCACTATGCACCACAAATGACTCTCCTTACCCTGTACCACTCTCTAATATATCCTTACCTCACCTATGGTATCTGTGCCTGGAGATCAACCACTGCCAACCACCTTAGACCCTTAATAATCCAACAAAAAGCTGATAACCAGCTCCTGTGCTAGACAGCACACCCCATCACTTTTCAAAAGACTCAACTTGCTAAATATACAAGACATACACTCTTATTATTGTGCCTACTACATGTACAGGACTTTAAACTCCACTGTAAACCCCCCCCCCAAACTACTCCTCTACAGTTACAACAGAATGCACAGTTAATACAAGGCATAAGGCACTTTTCAACATCCCTTGAGTAAGACTCTCACTATGCAAGAACGCTATGCACATAAAAGGCCCGAAGATCTGGAACTTGCTACTGGAAGGATCCCCAGACAGCTTATAAATTCATGAGACTGCTAAAAAATCATCTTATCTCACAATATTAACCAAATCAACCAAACATCTACTGACTAGTTTTATCATGTGACCACCTGGCTTTTAATTCTGCCATTCCATAAAATATTACCACCTGCACCATTCCTTGTAAAATATATTTTGTACTAAGTATACATAAGATTTATTAACCTGTAAACGGTCCAAACGTATACGTTTTTACCGCTAGTGCCCCAAACATATATATACGTTTTATTTGCCATTCAACATTGCCACGATAAACCCGAGTCGCCTAGACATGAGAGAATGGGTGTGCTCACTCACTGTGTGCCATACTAAAATAATTGGGGATACCTGTGTACCATATGCTCTTTTTTCCTATTAAAAAAAAAAAGATTTTTTTTTCTCAAAAAATTTGGGGCACTACCCGAGAGAACGTATATATAATATATATAATATATATATATATATATATAAAATATATATATATATATATATATATATATATATATATAATATATATATGTTCGGACCGTTTACGGGTTAAGTCCAAATAAGATTGTAAAACAGCTAGCCACTATTCTATGTTTAATTTTAAGTATAATTACTATGTACTGTTATCTTAACCCCTAAAGGGTCCAAACGTATATATACATTCATTGTGTAGCGCCCCAAACGTATATATGTATACGTTTTCTTTGTCATTCATTCAACATTGCCAAGATAAGCCTGAGTCACCTAGACATGAGAGAATGGGTTTGCGCACTCACTGTGCACCATATTAAAATAAATGGGGATGCCTTGGTACCATATGCTCTTTTTTCCTATTAAAAAAAAAAACTTTTTTTTTCTCAAAAAATTTGGGGCGCTAAGCGAGTGAACGTATATATATGTTTGGACCGTTTAATGGTTAACTAGTTTTAATTAGTTACTATGTATTAGGATTAGTTTGCCCGAAATGCCTCGGCATGATAGTGGCTATCTTTGTACCTAGCAAATCAAAATTGTAATTACACACTGTTGGTAGGCAGCAACCACCCAGGGAAGTACTACCGTCCTGCCAGATGACTGTGAAACAGAAACCTGTAACTGTTTTGCATGATGGTAGGATTGCTGGTTTTTCTTTTTCTGTCTCATAAACATGCTAGATAACAGGGATATCTTGCTACTCCTACTTACACTTTGGTCACACTTCACAGACATGCACATGCATATATATATATATACATACATCTAGGTTTTTCTCCTTTTTCTAAATAGCTCTTGTTCTTCTTTATTTTTCTATTGTCCATGGGGGAAATGGAAAAGAATCTTTCCTCCGTAAGCCATGCGTGTTGTATGAGGCGACTAAAATGCCGGGAGCGATGGGCTAGTAACCCCTTCTCCTGTAGACATTTACTAAAAAAAGAGAAGAAAAACTTTATAAAACTGGGATGCTTGAATGTGCGTGGATGTAGTGCGGATGACAAGAAACAGATGATTGCTGATGTTATGAATGAAAAGAAGTTGGATGTCCTGGCCCCAAGCGAAACAAAGCTTAAGGGGGTAGGGAGTTTCGGTGGGGGGAAATAAATGGGATTAAATCTGGAGTATCTGAGAGAGTTAGAGCTAAGGAAGGGGTAGCATTAATGTTGAAGGATCAGTTATGGAAGGAGAAAAGAGAATATGAATGTGTAAATTCAAGAATTATGTGGATTAAAGTAAAGGTTGGATGCGAAAAGTGGGGCATAATAAGCGTGTATGCACCGGAGAAGAGAGGAATGTAGAGGAGAGAGAGAGATTTTGGGAGATGTTAAGTGAATGTATAGGATTATTATTATTATTATTATCAAAAAGAAGTACTAAGCCACAAGGGCTTCAATGTATAGGAGCCTTTGAACCAAGTGAGAGAGTAATTGTGGTAGGGGACCTGAATGCTAAAGTAGGAGAAACTTTTAGAGAGGGTGTGGTAGGTAAGTTTGGGGTGCCAGGTGTAAATGATAATGGGAGTCCTTTGATTGAACTTTTGTATAGAAAGGAGTTTAGTTATAGGTAATACATATTTTAAGAAAAAGAGGATAAATAAGTATACAAGATATGATGTAGGGTAAAATGACAGTAGTTTGTTGGATTATGTATTGGTAGATAAAAGACTGTTGAGTAGACTTCAGGATGTACATGTTTATAGAGGGGCCACAGATATATCAGATCATTTTTTAGTTGTAGCTACACTGAGAGTAAAAGGTAGATGGGATACAAGGAGAATAGAAGCATCAGGGAAGAGAGGTGATGGTTTATAAACTAAAAGAGGAGGCAGTTAGGGTAAGATATAAACAGCTATTGGAGGATAGATGGGCTAATGAGAACACAGGCAATAGGGT